GCTTTGTCAATCTTGCCCCGGACGGAGTTCCAGGTAGGGTTGGAAGCGTCACCTGCCATGGCCGAAGATGTAGCCGATGACCTCACGGCGATCGCCATTGTTGAGACGATTTTCCACTGGCTCAGTCCACACCCAGAAGCATGGGTCGCCAAGCGACCTTGCGCGCTCCCTGCAACGCCTCACGTAGTTCACGAACTCTACTAGTCCACAGGCGAAGACTCTCCTGCGCCACGGCCCTCTGAGGTCCACGTCTGTTGAACTGTGAGCTGGAAGGCCTTGCGCGCACCATCGAAGGTGAGCGCAACAGTGGTTTCACTCTTCTCAAGAGCTTCGCGAAAAGCTTCATCAAGATCTTCTCGAGGGGTTGTCTTCCATGTGAGGACCCATCGACATCCCAGAATTCTCTTGCTGTTCTCTGCTTCTTATTCTCTTTGTGGTTCAGACATCGGCGGACAGCTTCCGCCTGGGTGGAGGAGACTTCTTTGTTCTTTACACGCGCGAACAGCTTCCGGCATCCATGACCATTGGGATGTAGCGCCAAGTGCCCCAGCCATTGCAGCCGTGCTCTGAGTCGTTGATCAAGGCCAAGCGGTCCGGCGCTGGTTCCTTCACCTTCTTGGGGGCCATGATCGTGTAGAAGATGTTGTCCACGGGAAGCTTTCGGCGATGAGCTCGCCGACATATGAGCACTCAAAAGCCGCGGCGGCGATAGTCCATGACGTTGGACCAGCTGCGCAAAGAAAGCCCTTTGACAGAAAAGACTGGAAGGTTCACTGACCACATCATGACTCCATGTCATTCCCAACCATGAACATGTCAACTCCAAACAAGGTGTGGCAGGTGTGGCTTTCTTTTCAAGAACTCGCTTGGAGGCGCACAATCTGCGTGTCAAAGCTTCATGTGAGGCGGACTCCAAATCACCCGTCAGCCAAGCCACCAAATCAATCACAAAGTGTCCCTTGTTCTATCACGTGAAGCAAGGTTTGGCATTGGGAACAGCGGTGATTTGAGCAAGTCCGTCCGAAAAGTCCATCCAACCCTTGAGGGCGCATGAAGTCCATGCCAATGAGATGGGCACCAGCTCTTCCATGGTGAACCAATGATCATAGAACTCCGAAGGGCACATACACATGAAACTGACGAAGTGAACCCTCATCTTGGAACTCAATCGAAATCGACAAAGCTTTGCCCCATTGATTTGCCACTATACCAAAACGAAACATTGGACGCTGCATGATCGAGGTCGGTCTCGATGATCGACTGAGGGTCCGGATGTATAGGGGGCGCCGTAGTCGCTGTTGAAGGAAGCAACTCCAAGGGTACAGCTCTAGACCATAGGCGTTGACAGAAACTTGCCCTTGCCAAAGCCCTTTTGGCTCTTGCCCTTGAAGGAGGAAGCCCAAAACAGATCAGCCATGTAGTTTGCCCTCTTCTTACCTTTGCAGCGCTTTCCAAAACCCTTGTGGAAAGCCATGGCATCCTAAAGAACCCATCGCCCTCAAGAGACACGCCAAACTTCGAACGATCTTTTTCCGAACAGCTGGAAGCAAAGTGACTCTGACTGCCACAAATCCAGCATCCTTTCCGGCCCTCTTGACTTGACCAAAAACCACGGTCACGTCGCAACGCCGCAGTAGTCTTTGAGCTTTCTGCCAATTCATTTTGGTTGCGCAGCCAATGCTTCTTTGCTTCAGCCACCTACTGCACTTGCAGAGCCTCGCGAATGGACTCGTGATCGAGTTCAGCGGGTTGCAACCCAGCCAACTGTTCAGCAGGAGGATGACCGTCACTGGACGAAGGGTCGGTCCAATCATTGGACCAAAAGCAGCCTGAGCATCATATACCATGACCACTCGGACCGCGAATGATCACACCGCCAACCCTCATCCGACTGAGCTGCAAACATCTGATCCTGGCACATAGTCAACAAGGTGAAGATTGCCACTGTGACAGTTCAACAAAGGGCGTGTTCAGACAAAACTCAAACCTGTGAGGCTCCGACTGTGTGGGAACCTCGATGGGTGTGGGAACATCGATGGCCTTCAGAGGCTTTGGTGAGCTACGAGCTGGGCAACCCGCTGCACTTGCATGGTCATCGTCACCACTCAGTTTCCTCACCACGGCGAAAGATCTCCTCGAGGCCAAAATCCTGAGTCGATGGATCAACACCTGAACGCTCTTCTTTGAGCCTCAACAGTGTTTGTTGGAACTCCTTGTAGGTGAGCGCCTCACGAACCAAGAAGTAGCTAATCGACTCATCTCGACCACGCAGTACTGCGTCGCGGTTGCAGCAGCATTGCCAATGGCGCCACTTTGCAAGTCTCTATAGAGGTGCTCGATGACGCCACGGTCTGTATTGAATTCAGCCTGCGACCAACTCATAGCCAGCAACCTTGCACTGCCCGTCAAGCGGGCAATCGTCGTCGCAATCTGGCGACACTGAGATACCCTCGTGGCCTGGGCGCCACCTCACGACAGCGTCTTCTCCAGCCTTTTTTTGCGCTGCCATCCCCAGTGGATACATCATGTTCTCTATAGATCCCACGGCGTCAAAACAACCGACCAATGTCAAAAGCAACGCTCAACGTCCAACGTTGCAACCAATGCAATGATTACCAATGCTCAACGACAACACGCCAGCCCACCAAGCAGCAAAGTGGAAAACAACGTACAATGCTTCAACTGACAATGTCCAGCCAACACCAATGTAGGTCCAGCAATGCACCAACGGAATCACGCAGCAATGCAATGGGCTCGCGCCAAGGTCCTCCGGAGCAACGCTCCGCTACTAGTCCACTGGCAGGCTCCACAGAAACCAACAGGGATGTAACCCAGCCAGGACGGATATCAATGTCAAAATGTCAACAACTGTTCAACACACACAGCTGTCACCACAGCTGAACCCTCGAAGCAAGGCCTGAGAGGTAAGGGGGGGTGGAGGAAAAGTAGTGACACACACGTGAACAGCCAAAGGTTGGAATGTTGCAGTATCCCTCAACCCATGGCTATAGCCAGAGACAAGGGGCCTTGCCTGTGAGGTATTTGTTTTCAAGTTCAAGAAAAAACACACAGCGGAATTCAGAATGTAGGAAACGTCGCCCAAGACAAGGCTCAATCCAGGCATGTGACACAAACCAGTCAGGTCTCTGAATTTGCACTGCCATCACCTCAACCAAACTGCAGCCCTGTCCCCCATAGCCATTTGTGGCTGGCTTGATGATCCAATAATCCGCATGGTACAAGTTGAAAGTCTTGAGCTGCAGCTGTCGGCCACGATGTTCTCCAAAAGTTTCGCACCAGTGCTCCGCCATCTTTGAGATGAAACCTGGAAGTCGTTGTAACTGTTCGAGAGTGATCCCTCGCTCTTCGGTTTTGAGGATGGGAAACATTTCCTGGCGGAAAAGGGCAGTGGGGGTGTTCAGGGGCCCCTGAAGTGTCATGTTGGGACAAGCAAGACTTCAATTCCTTCTAGGCGGTTCTCACTTTTTACGGAAAGAATTGACAAGGGATTGCCTGTCAATTTTGTGACGTGCATGTCGCGCGTTCACCCTTGTTCTTCATAAACTAAAACCTTCGATGCAAATTGGACCTGGTGGAAATTTTGTCTTTGCCCACAACAATTACAACAAACCTGTAGCTGTAGCACTGTAGGAACCGAGTAGTTGCTGGTCTTATGTTAAAAATGGGCATTGATCTAAGTTCCTTTATCCGGGGTCCGTCATTCTTAGCCAAAAAAATTTCTTGAGCCAAACGTTCGCCTTCCTGCGTTTTATCTTTCGCTGAAGTATGTTGTATTTTTGTTTGCCATGTATGTTGTATGACGGATATCATTGTCACATGTCAATGTTTTCTTCTGTACTGGCAGATACGAAATAAAACCTTCACTGTTTGTCAGCATGTGTCTTCGACTTAACTGTTGACACCCTGTACGTCTCTTTTGTTTCTCCTGGGAGTCTGCAAGAACCAAAAATTGCAAGAATCACTATGGTAACTGGTCGCTCAGACTTACTCATAATGGGCTGGGGGTCAGATGTGGCAAGGCCAACTTTCGCCAATCTTGAGCTGAACTTGTGCCAGAGTTTTCTGCCACGCCCCCAAAGCAGCAGTAGGAGTAGGAGTAGGAGTAGCGTTAGCGTCGTCGTCGTCGTCGTCGAGGCAGAAGCAGCAGCAGCAGGAGCAGGAGCAGGAGGAGGAGTAGTAGTAGTAGTAGTCGTAGTAGTAGTAGTCGTCGTAGTAGTAGTAGTCGTCGTCGTCTAGTGTAGTAGTAGTAGTAGTAGTAGAAGTAGTAGTAGTTGTTGTTGTAGTAGTAGTAGTGGAAGTAGTAGTAGTAGTAGTGGTAGTATTAATATTAGTATTAGTATTAGTATTAGTATTTGTCGTAGTAGTGGTAGTGGTAGTGGTGGTGGTGGTAGTAGTAGTAGCAGTAGTGGTAGTAGTAGTAGTAGTAGCAGTAGTAGTAGTAGCGGTCGTAGAAGTAGTAGTACTACTACTACTACCACTACTAATACTAGTAGTAGCAGCATCATAGTAGTTGTAGGAGGAGGAGTAGTAGCAGCAGCAGCAGTAGTAGTATGTAGTAGTAGCAGCAGCAGGAGTAGTAGCAGCAGCAACAACAGTAGTAGTAGCAGCAGCAGCAAAAGAACATCTTTAGCCATATCTT